TTACGCCACATTGTACTCAAAGCTTAGCGTAAAACCAGCTCACTGAACTCCTCCATCCTGCAAGAATCATGTTGAGGTTTGCCCCTAATTGAAGGACTGGGAATGAGGAATTTGAGTCCTGCTCTTCCCATTAAACTCTCCTGTTTGAAACCCTAGAAATCTTCCTCCTCCCAGATCCGCTCACCGAATTCCTGCAGGTGACAGGGTTCATGCAGGTACACGTTTAAGCACTGCACGGCACATACTTCCAGCCTTATCCAATATCTCGATTAATTAAAGATTTATGATTTTGATTCTTCCAGAGGAGGAGGGGGCGTTCGATAATTCTGACAGCTTAGCGGCTCACTGTAATCGATTGCCTATGCGATCGGAGGAATCCTATCCTGTAAGGCTTCACTTCATCCCTGCTTCGAGTGGGAAGCTTGGGACTCGGGCCGAAGAGTAGAAAGAGGGAAAGATAAGGCGAAAGATACTGTGGCGAAGACAAATCGTATCATTTTGGTATTACCAGTTGCTTTGAATGGTTAGAGTTTAAAAAAGAGAAGAAAGAACTTTGACACCGAAGTCAACGAATTTGTTCTACAGGAAATATTTTCTAAGTCATAAACATATCGTAGTTGAAAACCTTCAGATGATTTTAGTTGTATGGTAAAGATCCAAACTTAATATTATTTTTCGAGTTTGACTGAGTATGATGTTGAGTTTTTTTATGTATCTCATGGGTATAGAATTCATTTATTAAATCAAGGATCTAAAGTTTGAAATAATGATTAATTTCCATGATGCATAAAAACTAAGGTTTTGTATCATAGTATGGAAGAAATACATCATTTATTTCATGATTTCATATCTATGATCAAATTTACTTATAATATAATGCATGTAAAATGAATTGTAGAGTTTTAGTAGTCCAAAAGATTTACTTTTAAGAGTATTTTTTAATAGTGATGAAGATAGAGTGTACTATATAATTGATACACTTGAAGACTAAAACGAGTAAAATCCATTGATCCATTGATCAAATTTTATTTTTTGCTATGATATACTTTATACACACTGCTTATTAAGGAAAATATATGCATAAATAATAACATGAAATATTATAAAATAATTTTTTTTTAATTTTCTGGATCTAAATTATTATTTTCAAATAAACTCTCAAAAAAATGTCAAATATAGATTTTTAAATTAATATATAAAATAAAATTTACATAAATAATAAATTTGGATGAAAATATTTAACTAGAAATAAATTCAATATTATCTTTGAATTTTTTTAAAATAAATATTTCTTATATAATTTTTTTATTTTAAAATTTTAAATAATAATTTATTTATTAATTTCAGTAATCTCAAAACAAATCCTTTTTTTAGTTTAACTTTTTCCAACTCTAGCACTGAAATTTTTTTCACAATATAATTGTTTTTGAAAATAATAATAATAATTAATTTTGATATTACTTCATAATATATATGTTTTTAAATTTTATCTGTTGCAAATTTATATTAATTTTGACTATTTTACTTTAGTCTTTCTAATTTCAAAGCACTTTTTCAAATTTATACAAAGAAATAACTTCAAAATTTTGCTGGAAAATGTGAATCAAATTTTAACGCATAATAATTTGATCACATTCTAATCTATAAAAAAATAAAATCATAATGCTAAAATGACGATCATAAGGTAATTGAAAGTGTTTGATTGAATTATTTATAAGTTACATACATTGATAGGATCTGAAAGTCAATAGTTTTGATACTCATGGAATGTATTGCTAAAAAAATATATAGATGAGATATAAACGTGGAATTAAGATATATAGTATACAAGATATGAATAAGTCTAGATGCTATATAAAATATGGATGCAGCATTGTTTGTACAGTATGCTTCTTACACACAAGTTTTATCAACTTATGATCAATAATTTAATACTTTTATTAACATCACTTTTCTAAATTGTTAATATATCAAAATAATATTAAATAAATAAAAAAATATAAAATAATATTAATATAAAAAAATTTACATGTTTAACACCAACTTATCTTTCATATATATATATATATATTCACTCATTCATGATAATATAAAAATTTGCAATATAATTTGAAATGAATATCTGAATTTTGTAACTTGGAATGAAACTTGGAGACACGATCAAGTAATTAAAAATAAAATAAATGATTATAATCTTATTTATAATTATATAAGTCTTTTTATGTATATGTAGCTAATTTGTTTGAATGAATTGGTATGGATTTATAAAAATAAATAAATAAAAAACAAATAAAATCATTTTTTCGTTTTGGTTTAGCTAGCTGTTTGAATCATAGTGAATGCAATCAATAAATAATTATCACTAATAATAATTTCGTACAAATATGTATTATTATTTTTTGGACATATTTTGATATATTTAGATTTAGTTTTTTCAAGTTCATTCAAGTGAAATAATATGTTCGAAATTTCATAACAAGAACTACTGATTACTTCTTACTATAAAGTCTGTACTTCATATTACGAAATTATTTGGTATATTTTAGCAAGATTTCAATTTTTTTCACAAGCGTATACTTAGGATTGCAATGATTTTAGACATAATTTACTTCTATAAATTTTTTTTCATTAGAAATTAAAAAAAAAACTTTATACATCATATATTTAATTTGATAATATATATAGAATAAATTTTTTTAAAATTTTAACGATTTTTGGAAAGCTTTTTAATTTTTTAGAACTGAAAAATATAATAGAATAAATTTAATATACATATAATATATATGATTAATGATGTTGATATTTGTAAAATAATCAAATTTCTAATAGAATGATATCACACAATTTTTATTGAATAATAAATCATTAGACTTAAAAAATGCATTGGTACTTGTATTAATATAAAAATCAAAATTGATTATAACATTCCATTATTGAAAAATGATCCAATGAATCATATAAATATATGTTAGTTTAATTCTATCTTGGATTAACTTCAGTTAGTGATAACCATGGTTAGGAAGCTAATTGTGGTTAGATGTGCACTTTATATATTATTGTATGAAAGAAGTAGAAATTCACTACATAAGGTTCAGGATTGCATTGAGAGTGTGAATTGTAAGGAGTAGAGTTTGGCTATGGAGTCCGAGTATACATCTATGTTTTAGTGAAGTATTATACTCTTGACCATGTAGTTAGCCTGTGGAAGTTGAACCACGTTATCTCCGTGTTGTGACTGTTGTGGATGTTTGTATCTTTCAATATAGACTATGAATTTCTTTAATACTTTCTATTTGTATCACATGCATTCTTAACTTTTGTGTTGGAGATGACTGATAAGTTGTTTTAAAAAACTTTTAACGAGATAAAAAAATGAATATTCATGACAACCTTTACATGTCATCATGATGTTGTTACACTTTTACTATTCAGAAATTTGAGGTTATTTCAATTGACATAGTTTATACATTAAAAATAACACCTTAGCTATGATTAATAATGATAAACTTTCAAATAAGAATCTAACATGATGAAATAATCTCGAATAAACTAGCTAGAGTTAACAAAAACTAAATTAACTGCTCACATGCATACATTTGACTCCCATACAACAAAAGGTATAACAAACAACTAGTTATAGCGTGAGTGGAGAAATGACCCAAGAGAGAATATTATACCTAATTGGGAATTTCCGTAGGAATTAGAGATATATTTTTGTTGGCTTAAGCAAGGGTAACCGCTTCTTTCCAGGAAATGCATAGAAAGATAAATAACTGTGAACAACAATATAGGAGTGCAACCCTTGGGCTTCATTCCTCCATGATGTACAGGACAGGCAGCTATCACCTGGTGAGAAATGTGGGCTTTGTGGAGGTAAGCTATGAACTCTTGTCACTACTCAAGTTTTCGAGTATGCATCATGGCAGCTGCTTGGCCTTCGCATTAATGTGGAGGAGTCAAAACTCTTCGATAGACTTACTAGGGTGGAGGAGCAGTCGGACAATAGCATAGCCAGCATTCCCCTACGCCCCCTCTGCCTCTGGTCTTCGCACAACGTGCCTCTCCCTATGGGTCCCAAGGTGCGTAATCACTTTCATACCCACAGGGAGACTTCTTTGCCTTCACGAAAGAAGCGGCGAAGGCCTGTCGGCTTCTATTCGGGCGATCTGTCGAAGCTATGCCAGCGACAAGCGGAAGATTCCTCTCACCAGAGGCAACCAATTTCGCCAACTGTTCTTTTCGATCGATAAAAATGATCGATTGTTTCCATGACAAGTTGCCTCGAACATTAAGTAAAGAACATGATGTTCACTTCGCATACTGTTCACGGTCTGAATCTATGCGTTAAGTCATTCAGTGATTATATTTTCTCTGGTGGCAAGCTCTTCCATGAAAGTCCAGAAATTTTCAGATGTCTGTGAAGATCGTCGGTGGGTCTATTCTTCACAATGATAAATCTCTAATGACATGGGTTTGGGACATGAGAAGGCGTGCTCGAGTGATGCCCAAGCTTCGTGTGAAGTTTTGGTATCGAAAAGTTGTGTAGGAGTTCGGATGAGGATGCAGATAGCGCTTTGTTTTCTTTTACGTTCCAGGCTGTGAGTTGTTCAGCGGCTGCGCCTTCGACACAAGCGTCGGGGATTTTCTCGACGAGCCTTCACATGTGAGTTTCACCTCCATGAGTTTCGTCTAGCGTGAAAAATTGGAATCGTCAAATTTAGCCTGAGCTTGCATATAGATATTGCTTGCGGTTGCCGTGACATTGACAAAAAAAACAAGTAGTCCCAGCTAGTCAGATTGATTAGCCCCTAATCCAAGAAGTAGAGTTCACTAGTTTACTTAAGATATTGTTAGTGGTTGACGTTTCTTGTTACTTAGGCAAGCGCATGAGTCCACCCGGAATCTTCATAATCTCTTTATCTCAATTTTGAAATTTTGATGTTTGATATTGTATCAGGGATCAAAAATTCAAGATTGAAATACAAAGATTATATCAATTATATATCATGTGGTATTTGTAATGATAAGTAACTTGCTTGGACAATACCGAATTGGGTGTACTATAAAATAGTAAGGTGATCTACGTCACACGGGCTCTGTCACCCGGTTAACTTAATCAGAAGATTCGAAGCCCGCAAGTTAAGTACTTTGTTCTGGCTCTGTGCTATATTCAATCTCCAATATTCTATTGTCTACTACTGGCCTGACTAATAGTAGAATTATACTGGGCTTGAAGTTCATTCCTAGATTGCTGCTTGCCCTTTTCATGTTCAGACGCGGACAGAGTTCTGTTCCTCCCATAGCTGTCTTTTGACCCTACAGCTTCATGGATCTTGTCAGCCAAGAATTGCGCGGAACTCGAATGATAAGCTTCTGGTTGACAGACTTGGAAGTGATCTGCCTTAACAGTGAGCAGTGAATCGACGCCTGGTCGAATAGATGCTTCTGGAATCACTTGTCCATTGTATCCTCCCTGTACTCAGACGGCCCGAACTAAGAGTTGTTAATCAAAATGGAGTTTCTGTACACTTTGCACAATCCCAGAACAGCTACTATCAGGAAAACCGAAATTTCAACAATTTTTTCATGTCAGTGTATGCGGCAGAATGCTCAGACGTGATGTTCAGACCTGGGATGTTTCACTAGCTGGAAGAACTGCAGCTACTTGGAATTTGGGGCGGTGCGAATCTGGACATTGACGGTACTGCTGGAAGGATTGGTTAATTCGTGCTGTCTCCTTGTTCAACACTTTCATCAACGGAAGCATCTTATGTCGTGAATTCTCAGGAATCTTCGCGATCGTTTCTTCTATCACCTTGGATCCACTTTGGGGCACAGCATAGAAGAAAACTAGTTTCAGATTTTTCGAGAACATGCCAAGTTTTTTTTTATCCCAATCTTCGATGCGTAGTGCCTCCATCTTCTCTACAGTCATCACCAACTCTTTGATCAAGATACCGCCGAGGTCGTGCCCGACTAAGACCACAGGAACTCCTGCCTTTTGCCCAAGTTCTCCTGTGCTAAGAACGAGCTCTCTTACCAAACTCTCCGCTAAAATATATTCGTCCGTGATTTCCTTGCCCTCCCTTACTCTGCTGAAGTCTGCTCTAGCTTCGTAAGAAACGGAAAGCACTCGAGCTTTCAACTGAACTTGGTCTTTTAACAGAAGTTTCGGAAGCAATGTCTCTAGCCAGCAATCTTCATCATTCCTCATCTTCCAAGTTCTCCAATAAGCATCTGCGCATGTTCGGGCTGACTGATCCAATTGCAAACCATGGAATAGTACTACCTCCACATCAGGATGCGGTTCTTTCACCAGTTCGTACACCATGTCAGTTATTCGTGTTTTCTGCACACAAAGTGAGGTAATATTGTACGTGAGTATCGACCGATGTAACCAGATTAGGACGCCGATACATGTGAAATGTTTCAGACATTACCTCGAAACGTTCGGACTGTTCATCTCTTGTTGGAGACATGATATTTGTTCCCCGGGGCTCGACGGCAAAGACGGCACGGCAAAGATGGCACAGCACGGCAAAGACGGAAAAGACTGAACACATGGATGTGATTCAGAGTCCTTAGTACCAAATGTCGCAGAGTGTTGCCGAGTGTTGCTCACCTACAGAGCCACATTCTGTCTCAGATCAGAATCACAACAAATCTCGCTAGAATTGAGCTGCCGGATGCGCACATTCCAAAGATCGCAAAACCCCGCCAACTTTGATCGACATTTGTCGATCATCAGAACAACACTGGTAATGTGACATCGATGCGGTTTTAAAGTGCTCTCGACGTTTGGGAAAAAAGGTGGAAATCGGAAGGGACGAATTCTTGGCAACACGTAGACAGGAACGGGTCAAAGTTTCGATTGTGACGTATGATTGAACGCGCAGCATTGACAATTTGGACATCCAAAATCCGAGGACCCTTACAGTGGAGATAAATATCTATCTCCAATACGGCGGCCTCTTGCTTTCCCATGCAGACACCACCTCTATCTGTAGCCACACTTCTACTTTCATATTGACTTGTACTACACTGGCAAGGAGTATTGGTGCCTGATGAGGTAGCGACGGATTGGTCAAATTTGGCTACATCTCGGAAGCTTGGCAACGACAATCATCTGAGACCCGAACCATGACCATTTCCCCTGAAAAATTACAGATGGACGCGGAACCTTCTTATGGCGAAAACCCCGGTCGTGTCTCTGCCATAAAAAAATTAGTTCTGGGCCTGCTTGGTGGAAAGTAATGGCGACTGGGTCAAACCCTCCGATCGTGCAGTCATCGTACGGCTATCATACGGACGTTTGACTTGAGCGTAATGGATTTTGCATAGTTTCCACCTCCGCAGAAGCTTACTTATCGTGCTCTTGCCGTATTGTGCTGCTGGAATCAGTGAACAGACATGCAGTCTGGTCAACTATCATGGTCCTAACTTGTGCTCATCCTCGCCATTCGCTTTTGAAGCTTGCTTTTCCCGAGGAAGCCAGGTTGCTGTGAAACTTCTGCAGAACAATGTGCCCCATTTGTTTGGTAGCCGGATGGCACAGGGAAGGGACGCCTCGATAACCATTACTCACTTTGTATAGATAATATTTCGATGAGAAGCTATACATGGTGTAATTGTAATAGGGACGGTTAGTTATCTATCAGGTAGGGTTAATTAGTCCTCACCCCAGTATAATATATTCTTTGATTAGTCCAACACCCTATTTTAAAGTAGATGCTACTCATCCCATGAACCCAACATCTAAGAGTTTGGAGTAGAGGTGGGGTTAATTAGCCCTAAGAGAGGAATAATTAATCGAGCTGAGCCTAATTAGCATCACATGAGAAATATGTACTCGTGAATATCCCAACTATAGAGTTAAATTTGCGTCTGCATTACATGAGCAGTCCAATAAGCATCACGTTACATATTGTTTACCTATGAATTCACCATTTTGTGCTCTATGTATACCAATGTATATAAAGTACCAAAATAATTCTTTCAATATATTATATAGAGTGAGATTCATATCGCTTGCACATTTTCAGAAATGCCAGAGTACATCATAATTTCAGGGTGTAAACTCATTTATATAAGTAAGGAGCTATTGCAAGTTGAAACGAAGCATGTAATTTGATGTATATAAACTATCATAATACTCTTATAATACACTAGATAGAGTGACATCCATATCACCTAATAAAGTACACTACCTCATTCTCATACGATTGTCAAGATGCATCATAGTTCCAAGGTGAAACCACATTGCTGTAACAAATGAGCTATTGCAAGTTGGAATTATATGATGCATGATCAAGCCATGATATACTAGCATGTATGCTTGGCCAAGTGAAAGTTGTATAAAGTGACAAGATTGAATAACGCAGAATGTAGAGATGGCTGAAGTTGACACACTTAGTTCCATCATGGTGTAATAATATATCTAGTTCAGGATAGTAAACGGAGAGAGAATTAATTGAAGATCCCATATAACTTTGAAGGTAAACATCTTTGGTATGATGTAAGTTTACATACATGTTATCTTAAAATTAATTTTAGTTTTACTTTATCACCACAAAATTTTAGCTTTCATAATTCAAAATTTAAAATTACCTGAGTAAATTCACGTTATATTATTTTTGGCTGAGATAAAAAACGTTCCACTTGAAATATAATCAAAGATAAAAAGAAATTCGACAAGATTTTACAAAAAAATGCCAAGGATTATTTTTTCATATCTTTTATATTTACATCTTTCTTTTCCACAACTTTAATTCAGAATACTAAGATCCAAATATCCATTGGTAAACAGATAACAAACAAACTTCTAACAATGTTTTGTTTCTTTCCAAGATCATGTCGCAAGGTTTTATTTTAGATTATATACAATTTTTGTTGAATTATGTGCAATATATTGTCATATTGCAAGTTTCATCAGACATTTCTAACAAAAGTACTCCATCAAGAATATTTACATTTTTGTCGAGCAAGAGATAAATATCAAATTCATAGAATAAGTTGGTGAATTTTAGATTTGATTCTTTGTAAACATCAATTTGTATCAAAATATCATTTTCAGGTAAAAATTTATATCTATGTATATATATTAATATTAAAATTTAATTTCTTTATTTTAAATTACATGTTGTTGTTAAGATTTAATCTTTAAATCTGATATTTTATGCATTTTTCAACAAATATAGAACTTTCAATGTATTTTAATTTAACGTTATATATCTAATTTTTGTATCTAAATGTTGAAAGTGTTAGTGTTGAAATAAATACAAACATATTTAAAATTAAATTTTTAATGATAATTATTTTTAAAATTCAAAAAATTTAAATTTTTTTAGAAACTGTTTTTATGATCTAATGTTTGTTAATTTCTTTTCTCAGTTTATTTTTTAGATTTTTCTTTAAAAAAAATTGACTATAATATATATATATATACATTTTTTTATATGTAAATAATAAAAAAATGTAAAATTTTTATTTCAATAAAATTAATTTATAAGAAATTAATATAGAATATAATAAATATGTTTCTTCATTTCAAAAATTCATTACCACTTTAAGATCTTACTTATCTTGATTTAGTTGCATTTTAAATAGCTAGTTTAATTTGTAGAAAAAATGAATGATTTATAAAGCAAAATGATTATTATTAATGCAAAGTATGCTGAATGAAAACGTACTGGTTGTAATTCAAGATTCCTTCAAATGTAAAGCTCAAAATTTCTTGTGAAAGTCATTATCATCTAAAAAAACTAGATTCATACTACCCAAAAGTGCTTGTTTTGACAAGCAACCGTCACCAGATTATTACTATATTACATTCAATTTAGAAATGAAAAATTGAATACAGTTGAATAATCCCTGAAAATTTATAGAATCAAGATTTTATTGATTGAAAAATGAAATACATATGAAAATTTGAAATATATTTAATTTATAATGAAATATTTTTGAAAATTTTATGCTTCAATTCAGCCATTCAGCCTTCGGATCAATTACATTGATCCAAAGGGCTGAAAAATTATGTTTTTAAACAATTAATGTTGGCAAATTTTGAATAAAAAATTAATAGCAAAATTTTTTACTAATATATGAAATTAATTTGGATGGAGTGCTTTAGAATTGGCAAAGAACTTATTCTTTTTGAACAATAATAAACAATTATAGTCTCTAAGTATGTAAACAATTCTCTTTTGTCAAGTGCTCTCCAAATCGGACAAGATAATTGCCCTTTTAAGTCATCTTTAAGTAGATCTTTAATATCAACTCTTTAACTGGTAAATAATCAGCTAACAGTTAAATCAATAATTTATTTGATCATTGAATTGTGCAGAATACAATAGTTATGACTAATAAAATAATATTTTGCAAGCATAGAATATCATCTTAGTTGAATTGAGCTGATTTGTTATGAACATATAATCTTCACTGTTTAATTTAAAAGCACATGATATTTTTTCAAAAAAAAGTTCGTAAGCTCTCAAGTCAAGGAGATTTTTCCGAATATTTAAGGAATATAACCTTATATTGCATATTTTACATAGTCTTGGATATAGTTGATCATAGTTTAATATTTAAACATGCAAAAATATCATATTTTTGATCAAGTGTACTAAAAAATACTGCCAAAAGCGAAAAGTTTTAAACGTATTCCAATAAGAAAGCCCATATCATGACATAAACTCAAGTCTAGTTTTTATTCATATGAGTTAATTGAGATCAAACAGGTAAATCTTTTAATTCATGAATATGCATATAAATATTCTATTTTTTCTCATCTGTAAATAATTCTTATCTTACTGAAAAATTAAATTGAAAGTTTACTAAATTATGTAATATTATCAAAAATCTTTGGTTGTTTTTTTGAATGCATTAATAATAAGTATATTTAAAATATTTAATTTAATTTTGAACTCTTTGAATTAAACACAATTAGCAGTTCAAATTTCACATAATATAATACTTAAAATATAACACAAGTTTCATGAAAAAATCAGTGACTTTTTCTTATTGATAGCAAATGATTTACAATTCAAATTAAAATAACATAATAAAATAATTTATGTTTAAAAAGAGGATACTTTAGGATTTTAAATATCAAGAATACTACAAATACGATGTTAAAATGATTTTCAATAGAAATGTTTTTAAAAACTGATGAAATTTTTTCCAAATTTGCAAGAATTTTTTTTAATTTTTTGCAGTTATAATAGAAATATAGAAATTATTTCATTTTTAATAAAAAAATCATTAAAATAAAAATGAAAATAAAAATCTGATGATACATATTGTAAAATGAAAATAATTTGAATAAAAATAGACTAACATCACATTTTTATGTATAATAATGAAACATCATTATCAATATTGTGATTTCAATTACTAATCAAATTTTAATATAGAGCTTCAATTCTTTTAAACATCATTTTTTTTATAACAAAGTACAATTTAAATTTGAAATTTTAAGTTCATTTTATTGCCATGTTTATTATATTGTCAAAAAATTAATAACGACTTTTTAGCATCCATTATGAAGTTAGATTCAATTTAGAGATTAGCAATTGTGTGACTTTATTTGAAAATAATTTCAAATGTTTGCATATGATTCATAAATAGTTGTTATATTAATATTAATATAACAACTATAGAAATGCGTTCATTTATAAAACGTTCATTTCTTGACAGGTGGATTTCAGATGACAGTTCCGACACACCGGAATTTGTTTCCGTTTGAGCTGGACCATTAGTTTTGTGAGGCCATTCGCCTTTGATTTCCGAAGATGCTTTACATGGTGCATTTACTTGTTTCCTTGGTTCAGCATATACAGCAGGGGCTAGTTAGCACCGCATGGGTTCAAAGACTGTTTTTAGCGGAGAATTCCATTATTTTTTTATTATTTATAGTTGTCAATATTATAATAATCCAAGTGACAAAAAAAGTGCTTACACCGGAAACTTTTTTTTTTCATGCCCGGCGTGTTTTGGACTATATCTTCATCTCTTCATATTCATACTTGCTTTGATGCGCACAATTTAAGCAAACTCCGCATTGTTCAGATGTGGTTTGTGTAAGATCATGTCATAGATGCATCGCCAGTCATGCCTATCCGCGGCATTTACCCAAGGAAAGCCATC